TATCAGGGTTTTGTCTTCAAGAATTCAATGTTTAGGTTTTCACAATTGTTTATAGAAAATTCAAATAGGAATGGCTCAATGTGGAACAGTTATTTTCGGAACCCAAAGAAGTGAAAAAGTAGAAGATATCGGAGATACTGAAGAAACTTCAGTGACATCTCAAACTAATCTATGGTTTAGCTTATATTTTTTAAATAAAAATTATTTGATGTTTCAGTTTTGCAAATTATTTAGATATTCGAGACTTATATATGAATGTCATATGTAAATTGCCCGAGAAAATAGAAGGATTTATGTCGTATCGAACGACGACCTCAGAATCCTAAAAAAGTTTAGAACTTAAATCATATGATATACAATCGTAAGAAGTCCTAAAAGATAATGTGAGGATTTACGTCGTATGTCATACTAGACGAATAACTTCGACGTCTTATGGGTGTATATTATTAAGTCTATGAAAATTCAGCTGAAGCTCCTCCTTCCGCTTTCTGTTGTAGTCTCTACTTCTGCCCGAAGATGAATCTTTATTTGTTCGTATCGTTGTCACGTCCCGAGAAGAGGAGGAGAAAGAGAGAAAACAATTTTTATTATTATTTTATTGGAGTTTGAAAATATTATTTGTGGTTTTGAATATGTTTTATTATGAAATTTTGAAAAATGTTGAAATTAAAAATAGTATTTTGGTTCTATGTTACAGGGTTCATCCTAAGCATGCGTTCTACATTTGCTACCCTAGGGTACTATATAAACATGCCAAAAAAGCAGTAACTAAAAGCATGAATACAGGTGAATGTATACATTACAAAGCAGTAAAGAAATGAAAGAACTATGTAGTAAAATACAGTAAAGAAAGAAAGAACTGTGTAATAGAGTACAGTAAAGTAAAGAAAATAACTATGTAGTAAAGTACAGTAAAGAAAGAAAAGACCAAGGCGTACTTGGCTGATTTTATTGATGCTTCAAAACACATTACGATTATATAATACAAGTGTATATAAAAGAAAAGTGGTTAGATAAACATTTGCAATTTACATATGAAAGACTTGAGCATGCATATTTTTTATAAAAGTTAAGTGATAAGCATATGAAAAATCAAAATGGGGTATAAGAATTTAAATTGGGGATGGGCTCAACCTAGACTTTTCATTTATCACGATCTCACAGGCAACCAAAGCATCAAAGTTTATATACCAATATCGAATAGCAACCGCCAGCAAAACATTCTAAGTTTGGGCAACTACAAAATCCTAACAGCTAGTTAACAAGTTAGCTAAGCCTCCTCTATCATATGTGTCATATGTATGTGATGTATTTGTATGTGATGTAAATGTATGTGATGTTTTTTTATATTTTGTAATTTCAAAATTTCCATCGATCGGTATTATAAAACCACAGTTCATGAGCCATCCAAAGCTGAGGTTAGAGCTACCAACAACCTATAGAGATGTTGAGGGTAACTACAAATTGAATATTGGTTTATGTTTTTAGCTATAAAAGTATGAATATAGTGTCATACATCATTGCCCTTAACCTCGCAGCTCCAATTTATAAGCCACTTTGATATGTCATTTACTTTCAAACAAGTGAAAATCTGTCATTTAAATAGTTTAGCCAGAGGGAAATGAATAACCATACACTTCAAGCAAGCCATTTTTTTTAACAATCAAATCAGATAAATTTTCAAGGATAACATTCTATGCTAACACTGCGATCAAAATTATTGTTTTCTCCTATTCTCCGAATCATTTAACATTGCAAATCTTATAATCATCATAGCTGAATAAGAAAGTGATATACCTTATCACTTATATTAAGATTAGTTTTAAACGTTCAGCATGATTCAAAGCTCATTTATAGAATATCAAAGGGCAGACAACTAACCAAAAGTAGAGCAACCAATTATAGATATAAATAAATTCATACGCATCATCAGCATCTCAAATAATTAACCGTGAACTCCCATCTAGGAATAAAAGGAGAAAGTCAACTATAGAATTCAAATAAGTAAACAACAACAACATAAATACTTCACCATTTAACTGTATGGAATTAAATTTCATGAGATTGTTCCATAATACAAAACCTGATGACTTTAGAGTATTTCCAAGTAAATTCAAAATCACAGCAATACCAAAAATGAAGTCTATAAACTTATAATTAGTCAGCATTTTGCAGATTAAAAAAAATACCCTTTGCTGACAAGTAATTAGACACAACTTATGCAAATTATAAGAAGACGACCATTTAATTATTATCCAATAAAGCAATAATGCTTCTCTGATACCACTTAACATACCTGCCAAGCTTACCCTCATCGAGCAAGTGACCCACTCTTTTAACCTCAAAGAAGAAAAACTATGAAGAATGATACAATTGAGAGCATGGGGATTTAAAGAAATAAATTTCCAAATAATTCTGCTATGTCAATTCTTCACCTTATCCATGCATGAGTTTACAAAATAATCATGGTGCTCAAGGTAAGTAATAACCGCAGAGAAAAAAAAAACAAATAAATTCAACTATAGACTTGAATACAAAGTAAATATCACAATTAAGTTTTGCTTAAGTTTGAAATCAAACGAGCTTAGTTTGACCGTATAACCTCATTGCTGTAAATAGAATACGAAGGATTAACTCACATACCATTCAATTCTTATGCAACTATACATCTCATACCTTAAACTTCAATTTATACATGTCACATTACCTATGCTTAGTACTGTATACTAAAAAAAAAGGCCAAGATGGCAATATCTTTTATGTGATGAGAAAAATTTAGGTGGCATAAATGTAAAACAGTTTTAGTCTTGAATTTGTAAATACCTAGGAATTGGGTGGTATATATGTAAATATGTAACTTTAGATGGGAGTAGGGTAAATACATAAGGTTTTCTGTGGAATGCATTTTTCAGTGATAAATTTATGATACATAAGTGTTATAAGTAAAATTTTGGGTGTCAAATAAATAAATGCATAAGAATTATGTGGTATGTGAGTAAATCTTCCAAAATGAAACTATAGATGATAAGAAGTTCAACCATATCTGAGATAGTCATTCCAGATAACAGCTACTAAACCAAATAGAATGATCATAGATAGTAATTGGAGGCTCTGATTCATCACCAAAACCCCATCTGGCAAGTGGCTCCTCAGAATATTCAGCAGCTTATTCCCCTTTCTCATTTAAATTGTTGATTTTATAAGATGGTTGCTGTGAATTCCTCCGACTAAAAAGGGATTTAAAAGCAGATGATGAAATTTTTCTTTTCCCGCAATGGAAGAATTTGGATTACTTCAAACTGAACCTATTCTCTAAGAGTTTCACAATAGAACAACTAAAATATCATGGCAACGGATGTCTGGAAGGAAGCAATTCCAAGTTCGAATCGCACTCAATCAAAGAGCATGCATGGATGATTTAGTAGAAATCTTGATAACAGAGATTTGTAAAATTTAAAAAAACGAAATCATGTATATGTGCAACAATAAAGAAATCGAGACAAAGCTAACCCATCCAAGCAAAATTCGTTTGTAATTAAAAAAAACTTAACACAGAAAATTTTTTTTTACCCGATGTTTGTTATGAATCCATATCTTGAAGTTTCTAGAAAGTTAAATGCAAGAGACTGATCAAAATTTCTTACGGTTCACAAGTAAATAAAAGAATTACAACTTGCAGAAAGACTAGACTTTATCCCGTGTGGCTTCAAGAACCAATAAAACCTTCCTAAAGCTTGGATGAGAGAGGGGAAGAAGTATATGAATTTTTAGGAGTGGAAGAGCGACTAAAGAGAATTTCGAACCAGGAGAAGGAATCGATCGATCCAGTCACCTCAAGCCAGTCGCACGATGGGGGTATTTATAACCAAGCAAGGGGGAAGAGGCTTACCGTAGAAGCTACCGGCGGTGAGGGGAACGCCACGAAGAGCAAGAAATCGACCAAAATTGAAGAATAGGAAGGTTACCAGATTCATTTGGGCGGGAAAATCCGTTACAAAAGGGTTGCCGGAGAAGCAACCGGCGGCGAGATTCTGTTAGGGCTCGAAAGGAAGAGGATAACCGGAGAACGCAAGATCCCGGTTAGGGTTTCCGCGAATGGAAGAGGCGAAGGCTTTCGGCCTTGAACGCGAGGGAAGAGAGGCGGGCGAGCATTAAAGCTATTGAAGTGGACATTCACTTCAATAGCTTTCGGCCATGAACGCGAGGGAAGAGAGGCGGCCTTGTTTCACCCCCGAATTAAAGCTATTGAAGTGGACATTCACTTCATTTGTGACCATCTCAAACTGCAACACATAACTCTACAACATATTTGACCGAAGACCAACAAGCAGACATCCTCACGAAATCCCTCTCCACTAATCGACGTCAACTTACAGCCATGCTAATGATCCACTCAATAGATAATCCGCTCAAAGGGGGACAATGAGGAACATACATGATTCGCGCTAGGATGGACGCTGGCTTTCTCAGTTTTTCTGAACCCGAACAGCTCTTATTTTGCCTCGGTCACTTTGACCGACTTGGGGATTTTCCTGTTTTATATTAGGAGCATTAGCTACTTGTATTTATCATTCTACCCTTATAACTATCTGTTTCTATATATATAGTTGTTGTATGTAAGTGAAGAAATTAATTAAATTTC